ACTGGTGTATATTATGTATGTTGTAGAATAAAACATGAAAATATATTAAGCTTGTGTTCACCACAGACCCAATTTTTAGGCATTTAACTAAAAGCCCATTCATAAACACACAGTTTTTGCCTAAAATATGTCATCCATGCAGCACTCTATAACATACAGTATTTATTAAAAAACAAGTAGCCCACTCTAAACATTTTATAGTTACAGCATGTGAGTGACGTCCAGTTATCATCTTGGAAATATAAAAAGTCGTTTCACTTTTTAAATCCATTTTTGTGTTAATAATTTTGTTTTAGTCCGGTACAATATTAACCCAAGAAGAACATGGTACAAAAAGTAGCATGGTGCCGTTCCAAACATAGACTCAGTTTTTGCCCCAGATTCATTCTGCTACTCAAGTCTTTATTGAGAATCCCCAGCGCTTGTGTCCTTGATTCACCTGTGGAATAAACCGCTTCACACACTTTTAGCCTTTAATGTCTGTCTACAAGGCTTTTTCTAGTTTAATTATAGTGTCATTTAAAGAAAGGATGTGGGGGCGAGACAGGAAGAAACCTAATTATACTGTGTCCTCTGGGATTGTTTGTGTGTGTACTCCGTACTCAAACTATTTATTCAGTAGTAGCAATAATCATGGAATCTCCTTCTTGACTTATTTGATCAGACTGCCAAAACGTTACATAAATTACACAAACCGCAATCTGTGCATTTAACCATTATAACTGAATAGCACTTGCTGAATTAAACATGCAACTCAGCTGTTTCACATTATGATATAATATATACTATGCAGTACGCTAGTCCTCGATTCCAAACATAGCCTGTATGTGCTGACAGTAAACATCAGTCATTGGCTTTCTCCCAGGATGCTTTGCTGAAATATTGATGCGTCAGCATCTATGTGCAGGTAGGCGGAGCTTCACTCGGAAAGTCCTGGCCAATGAATTCCTCACCAGTGTGAATACATAATGACCCAGACTCGTCCTGAGCTCTGTTGCCATGGTGACCAGAGTGTGGGGGGTCTGGATGGAAAGGTCTCTGTTAAACGAGAGCATCTTCACTGCTGAGATGTGTGTGTGTGTGTGATGACGGAGCGTCATGCTGACGGTCCCCCTGAGGCCAATGTCTATTTTAAACTGGCATGAAAAGGCATCTCTCTGTTTCTCTCTTTCTCTACTGTATTTTATTTTCCATAACTACTGTAATACAATGCACAATCAGTCTAAATATGTGTAAAGGGTTTTGCTCCATTTTATTTAAGTTTAATTTTGTCAAAATATTTATTATATTATAATTGGTACTGAGTTAACTACAGCTGAAATGAAAATTAAGTTATAAAGAAATATTTTTTTAAATCAAAAACTAAAGAAATGTGAAAAGTAGATAGAAAAATGACTCAAATTTAAATAAAAAAATATTAATTACCTGAGTGTGCAAAGTGTTGAGCATAATTTATTTCGTGTTTTTTTTTTTGTTTTGTTTTTTTGTGAATTAAATGTATTGTATTTTATTTGTTTTGGTACGAACATTACTTAAACTGAAATAAACTAAAGTTAATTAAAACTATTAAAAAAACTGAAAAAAAAATACAAAACAGCTAAAGCAATGACTAAAATATTATTTAGTATTTTAAAAAGCTAAAGTTCAAAATAATAATTAGGCTACTTCTGTTTTGAGATCTGAGTGAGTAATTGGTAATTCTCTTTTTTTTCAATTAAATTTAGTATTTTAATTGTTTTTTGTTTCATGTTGCATTGAAGAAAAATTGTTGAAGGCTTTGTAAAATCTTTCCCAAAAATTAGAATTATCCCATAATTGACTCACCCTCAAGCCAGTCTAAGTGTATAGCATGACTTTCTTCATTCAGCCAAACAAAGAAGTGATATTAAAAGAGTTATATTAAAAAATATCCTGGCTCTTCCAAGCTTTACAATGACATTATTTTTGAAGCTCAAAAAAGCCCATCCATCCATCATAAAAGTAATCCATACGACTCCAGTGGGTTAATAAAGGCCTTCTGAAGTGAAGCGATGCGTTTTTTTTAAAAGAAAAACATACATATTCATAACTTTATAAACTATAATCCCTGGCTTCCGGCAACAGCCGTGCACGCGTTCATGAGAGAGTCGAGTTCTGTCAAGTTTACAAGTCTAAAACGAGAAGTATTTGATGTAAGAGAAGATGAGCTTGAGTTTTCATCCGTCAGGTCAGAGGTCACTCTTCCGCCAGAACTAGACTCGCGTTTGTTTTTGTGCTTCAAAATCCAAGTTACCATTTACTCCCATGATAAAGCCTGGAAGAGCAGGATATCTTTTAATAAAACTCTTGTTTTCTTATGTCACTGTCATTTACAGTATAGATTGTGAGTCATTTACACCTTTAGGCTCAGGGTGAGTCAATTTATTGGATCATTTCGATTTTTTTGGGGTGAACTATTCCTTTAAGACCAGTTAATATTAATGCGCCTAATATAATGTCACCTAATTAATATTCATGAGCATGCCGATGATGTGGTTTTAACACAGGAAGGTTTCGGTTTCATCCCTTGGGACACAAAGCACTTTCTCTCCATCTTTCCATGTCTCTCTTATTTTCTTTCTATTATTGTTGTCTATTCCCATCCGTTCCAGTCCCGTGATCGCAAAGACAGAGAGAAATGAGTTGTATTCTGCATGTGTGTGACCCAGAGAGACGTGTCCCGTGAAGTCTGATGTGTTGTGACAGGGTGTTTTGGATGTTATGAGCGCTGGTCTGATGGCCCGTGCGGGTCAGCTGGAGTTCTGGGCTCGGCCTTTGTTGTGGCCTTTTGACAATAATCTTTGTGTGTCGCTAAAGCTGAGCGCTGCTGCCGTCCACAATGAGAGCTCTGTGTCGTCGGGTGGGGGAGGACGCTGAGGTTATTTTCATCATGCATTCGAAAAGGTCCTTCACACTGACAGCCATTTGTAGCCGTTTTCAATAAGAGTTGGTGATTTCAGACAACGTGAGTGACAGTGATTCTTTGTAGTGCAAAAAAATCGGGTTTTCTGAAGCGTCACACTGGGTAGCTCCGCCCACAGTAATCTCTCATTGGTTCAAAATTCCTCTCCATTTAAAAAGAAAAATATATATACTGTATATATATATATGTGTGTGTGTGTGTGTGTGTGTGGCAAGCCATTTTAGCGTTTATTCATTTCCAGGATATGAATTATTATATCAACAATTTATTTGCTGATATCTGTAATTGTATTTTCACTAGTGAAATGTCACCATAGGCTGCCATTCAAAATCAACAATTGATTTTTTACTAGTAGAAATATAATTTTTGATATCAACAATTACATTGTTACTAGTAAAAATGTGAATTCCTGATAATTAAATTGTCACTTGTTAAAATGTCTCTTCTTGATATCCACAATTCAATTGCAGACTGATATCATGAAGTAGCGTGTGTATGCCACGCCAATTCGTATTTCCATTTTTGGCGTGCTATCAAGACGCATAATCGCCTTTTTCAGCGTGTTTATGAACGCCGTTGACTTAACGTTATATAAATATATGACTTACCTCAACCCCGTCCCTAAACCTAACCGTCTCTGGGGTTAATGGCATTTATGACTGTTCACTTACCATCCTAGGTAAAAAAAAGTTATGACTTACCTCAACCCCATCCCTAAACTTAACCGTCACTGGGGTTAATGGCATTTATGACTGGAGATTTGACGTCGTGTACAGACACGCGGAATGACGCGGACGTTAATGGCGTAGACATGCACGCGGATACACGCGGATAGCTCAAAATGCGTAGAGATAACACGCCACCTGACTCGAAAGTGGCGTGTATGTTTACGCAAAAGTCATGATGTCATGTTGTCAATTGTTACTAGTAAAAATTATCATTTTTGATATCTGAAAATGTATTTCTGAAATCAATATTATTTCAGATATCTAAAATGACTTTCTTACTAGTAACAATCACATTCATGATATCAGAAATTAAAATTGTCACTAGTAAAAATTGAATTGTTGATATCATAAATGAACATTGTTACTAGTAGCAATTCAATTGTGGATATCAGGAATAGACATTTCAACTAGTAACAATTGAATCTTGAGGTTTTTACTAGTAATAATTTTATATCTGTTATGTGAAATTGGTATTTCAACTAGTAAGAAATCAGTTCTTGAAATCAATAACTCTTTTTGAATGGCAGCCTATGGTGACATTTCACTAGTGAAAATACAATTTTTGATATCAAGAATTCATATCCTGGAAATGAATAAAAGCTAAAACGGCTTGCCATAGTATGTGTGTGTGTGTTTAATCTCACTGTTTCAACAAAAATGTAAGCAACTGTTTTCAACATTGACAATAATCTGAAATGTTTCTTGAGCATCAAATCATCATATTAGAGTGATTTCTGAAGGGTCATGTGACACTGAAGAAGACTGGAGTAATGATGCTGACAAATCACAGGAATAAATGACATTTTAAAGTATATTCAAATAGAAAATGTTATTTTAAATAGCAATAATATTTCACAATATTACTGTTTTTGCTGTATTTTGTGCAGAAGAGGCTAAAAATAAAAATAAAATACTCTAAAAATGCAAAAATGTTTCTTCAGGTGAAATTGGGCATGTCTGTAGTCAATATAATGAGCTTTATTTAAAAGCAGTTTAAGTCTACTCTCTTAGAAGATATGGTTCTATTTAGATCCAGAAATGGTTCCATCCCCCGCTTCATATATGGAACTCCAAAATGGTTCTATATAGAACCATTTTTTTTTTTTTGTAAAAGGTTCTATTGGCCAAGTATGGAACCCCAGGGTTCTATATAGAACCCAGAGGAACCCTTTTTTAAGAGTGTATAGAACCTTTTAGGGGTTCCAAATACGTAGCGCTGATAGAACCTTTTAAGGTTCTATATAGAACCTTTTCTTCTAAGAGTGTATGATATGTCCTAATTAGTGTGTGTGTGTGTGTGTGAACTCTACATGTTCTCTTCTGGTTGCTAGGCAATGGAGAGCAAGCTGCTGGTAGGTGGGAAGAACATTATTGATCACACTAATGAGCAACAGAAGATGATTGAACAGAAAAGACACGAGATCGCCGAACAGGTAACACGCATAATTTTAATGTTTCCATTACATTAGTGGCGCGAAAACGACACACTTCAAGGTTAGCATCTGTATGGCAGTTTCTGTGCTCATTATTAACACACAACTGTGTGTGTGAGCAGACACGCAGAGAGAGGGAAATACACCAGCAGGTGTTGGATCAGGATGAGGAGACGTTAGAACTCAGAGAAACCTTCTCCTCACTGCAACAGGAGGTGGAAGCAAAGACCAAGAAACTCAAAAAGGTGAGACACACACACACACACACACAGCTGAACTGACGTGAAGTGTGGTGTAGATTGTACTGTAGGAGCTCACATGGTGATGGCATCACATTCAGAGGTTGCTAATCATCGTCCCTCTTTTGGGACCAGTGGCTTCCAATATTAAACAATTGCGAATATAAGATAATTATTTTCTGTTTTTAATTGGAACTTGATGTATGCAAAGCAAAAGATTATTTATTCAAAATTAATGTCGTTTATTTTATTTCACAGTCCACCATATTTATTTATTATTTAGAAATATTTCTTGAGCATCAAATCATCATATTAGAGTGATTTCTGAAGGGTCATGTGACACTGAAGACTGGAGTAATGATGCTGCATCACAGAAATAAAAATACATCCTAATATAAATTCAAATAGAAAACAGTTATTTCAAATTATGATAATATTTCACAATATTCCTGTTTTTACTGTATTTTTGATCAAATAAAGGCAGCCTTGGTGAGCAGAAGAGACTTACTTACCACAAACTTTGCCCATCCCAACATTACCAGTAACGCTCATTAACAAGCGTTACATCATCATGACTCCTTTGAATGAGACTTAAAGGGATAGTTCACTTTGAAATACATTTTTGCTATGTTTTAGCTTACCTCGAGGACATCTAAGATGTAGGTGTCTTTGTTTCCACAGTAGTTTCAATTTTGATGATTCTTGTCTGTCAGTCATATAATGGAGGTCTATGGTCACCACCTCAAAGAGCATGCACAGAGAAGTCCAAATTAAACATGATTTAATGACTCTTAAATGTAAGACACGAAACGAGTGGTTTGTGTGAGAAAACCAACAGTATTTATATCGTTTTTACCTCTTGTAACCACAGCCACGTCCAATGATCTGAAGGCACGGGCGCTTCAGTCTGTGCATGGGCCGGAAAGCGCCGGAAGTGATCTCTTGCGCGGTTGCGAAATAAAATCAACGTTGTCTGTTGATATATCGAAATCGTCTTCCATTGCGATTTCCTGTATATCTAAATATGTTTAGATCTTCACAGTGAAGGGGAACACTTCTGAAATCTCTGTGTAAACAATGAGTGACGTACACACGCGAGAGATCACTTCCGGGGGTTTCCGGCGCTTGCGCAGATAGAACCCTCAGATCACATGGACGTGACTCTGATTACAATAGGTAAAATCGATATAAATACTGTTCGTTTTCTCACACAAACCGCTCGTTTCGTGTCTTAGGCCATCAATGTGTACTTACATTTACGAGTCATTAAATCATGTTTAATCTGGACTTCTCTGTGCATGCTCTTTGAGGTGGTGACCATAGACCTCCATTATATGACTGACAGACACGAACGGTTTGACCTAAAAATATCAAAATTGAAAATACTGTGGAAACAAAGACACCTCCTCTTGGATGCCCTTGAGGTAAGATAAAACATAGCACAAATTAATTTCAAAGTGAACTATCCCTTTAAGCAACCACTGAATATTGAGTGACAATAAATAAATATGCCAGCACTGAGTTCCCTAACTCCTCTGTTCCTCTTGCTCCCCCTTAATTCTGGACCTTTGACATTTGACCCCTGGAACACCCCTGACCCCACCTCCCCGTGAAAATTAAACACCTTTTATCAGTACAAGAAGGTTAGTTTGTTTTACACTTGCTCGGTTGCTGACTGTCAGAGGCTAATGCTAAACGCTAGTCTTGGCATTAAAGCTTTCACAGCAACTAATTCAAGCCCACCTGCATTAATCTCCATGGCTACCGCTGGCATGCTAACCACCAAAACCCTCTTTCTGAATCTCTGATGACTTCATTCAGAGATTTAATTCTCAATAGTGGACAGGCTAAACAGGGCTGAGCATCTGCACGCCACTTCCTGTCAGAACTCATGACTTCCTGTTGGGTTGTAATGGAGTAACTGTTGTGATGTTCAGTGGAACACACTGCGCCTGACCTCACCTTTACATGCTCCTTCCTGATCCTGAGCTTCACCTTTAACCCCTGGACGTCTCACACTAACACTGATGGGATCACTGACCACAGTCATAGCATGAGAGCTAATGATGACGTTCAATAGATGGATACATGGATGAAGAAGATGAGGAATGATGTATGGATGGGTGATGATGATTATGAAGATGGATGTATGATGAAGGACAGATTATGATGATGATGAATGGATGAGAGGATGGATGATGATGATGGGTGTATGGATGATCACATGTCTCTCTCTCTTCTCTCTCTCTCTCAGCTGTATGCGAAGCTTCAGTCTCTGAAGGCTGATATTCAGGATGTGAACGATGAGCACGTGAGGAGTCGACAGGAGCTGGAGCAAACACAGAACGAACTGACCCGAGAGCTCAAATTCAAGTGAGTCTGACTCGAAACACACGCGTCTACCGGTGATGACGTCTCTGAAGGGAACAATTCTGTCTCCAATATAAAACTACATGTCTGTCTCTGCAGATATCTGATCATAGAGAACTTCATACCTCCTGAAGAGAAGAATAAAATAATGAACAGGCTTCAGTTTGACACGGAGGAAGACCAGTGGAAGTTTCAGCCTCTCGTCCCGGCAGAGAAGTGAGTGAACATCGATCTTTACATGTGATGCATCACATCAAACTCATTATTACATATTTTAGAATAATCCACAAGTTTCCGAGGGGCGCTCCTGTAAAAAATAAAGTGGGTGAAACTTCCGGTGACGCGGCGGAAGTAGCATTCCAATGGTATTTTGTGTGTTAGTTAGCGAAGAGGCTAGCTGTTTTTCGGAGAATTATTTTACTATTTAAAGACGCCAATCTTTATGAGAGATGTCGTTACGGAGCTCAGGGACAACATGTGCTGTTCGCGGTTGTATGTATAACCGGATTAAACTAGTTCAGTGGCTTAAACGTGATTGTTTTGAACATAAGCTGAAAACGAAATCACAGTGATCCTGCCAACGACTGTAGTTTCCATCACCTCCCAAAAGACGACGAATCTTCCTGTGTACATTTGTTTAAATTCTTAATGTTCTATAAACTCTATCAGCATGTGATTGGCTGTTCGCTACTGATGTTACACCTAAACTCAGGATCAAAGCCTGTGTTGACAGAATACCAAATGTGCCAGTTAATGTATTCAAGCAGCACATTCATTTATAATTTTGACTAAACTCCAAAGCACAATGACTAAGTGTGTATTTTTTATTTTAATTGTTTGTCAGCTCGCACAACTGTCTGTCACCATGCCTTGATGAGTATTGATTATTAATAATGTTATTATAATACTCCCAATCAACTACTGCAGAGGGTAAAGGTACTGTTATTTTACCCTTTTGAATTTCGTTGAGGTTGTGTTCCCACATCGTTAGCTAGTTTGGATCGCTATAACTTGAATGACCGTCAACTATTGAATGAACGAGTGTCAAGCATGTCAAGTAGCGCTTTGTTTACTTCAAACCGGAAGTCGCGCCCACTTTTGACGCAAGGCCTCATGGGGCGTAGGAAACTTGTGGATAGTAAAGTTATAAAAATGATGAAACCACACTAGTGGAAATATGGGAGTTATGTAGAGCTATACCACGGTCTGGGTGAATACTCGATTCTGATTGGCTGATAGAGGTGATAGAGGACACCTTGTAAAGGAGTTCTGGTGAAACCGACTGTTCACTGTTCGAAATTCATAAATAAATGCGCTGACTACATCAGCTGTGAGTAACCATAGCAACAGGCAATGTATCCATTTACAATGTATTTAAAGGGATACTCCACCGTTTTTTCATATTAAACTGTTATTCCCTTAAAGGAGCAGTTTTAAAAAAAACTTTTGCTGATAATTTACTCACCCCCATGTCATCCAAGATGTCCATGTCTTTCTTTCTTCAGTTGAAAAGAAATTAAGGTTTTTGATGAAAACATTCCAGGATTTTTCTCCATATAATGGACTTCAATGGGAACCAAACGGTTCAAGGTCCAAAAGACAGTTTCAGTGCAAACTGTTCAAAGGGATTCCAGACGATGAACAAGGGTCTTATCAAGTGAAACGATCGCTCATTTAAAAAAAAAAGTTTAAGTTTAAGCGTAGGACCATAACATGTTCATCCAATCATTGCATTTGGTCTGAATGCAATGATACGATGACTGTCGATGTATTTCCATACCTCCGCCGCTCGTGCCTTTAACAGTTCCACCTGAACCAAAACAACGAGCGAATGCTTCGTTCACACCAGAACTTCTGTAATTTGGAAGAGATTGCGGAGTATGGATACAGAACAGTTAATTATCATTAACTAAAACTAAAACCATAAAAACAGTGGTTTAACAGAGTGTTTTAGTGCTTCACTGAGCAGAACTTCACTTCACTTACGGATAATGAAGTTGATGTTTTTGCCTGTTTTCTGTGTTTCTGACAGTAAATTCACACAGATGAACAAAAGACCCGTCTCTGCTGTGGGATACAAGCGACCAATCAGCCAGTACGCCAGGGTTGCCATAGCGATGGGAGCTCATTCCAGATACAGGGTATGTTTATAGAGAGAGAGAGAGAGAGAGATGGGAAGAAAAAGTGGAACGTAGCCAGAAGATAAATGAAATGTTTGGAATGAGTTCATGTGCTGGAGCCACGTGATTATATGCACTGCTAAAAGAATGTTTAGACATTTTTTTTACTTTTAAAAGACAGAAATACTAATAAGAAGAGTGCTGTTTACTTGATTGTCCCTTGTGTCCCTCCATAGGCGGAGAATATAATGGTTCTGGAACTGGACATGACTCCTCCTGTCGTGTTTCAGCTGGACCTCCCGAGGTCTCCATCTCGAGATGTTCTGTTGGACAACACCAGTTACAGAGAGAAATCAGAGTCTGGACGGGTCAGAAAATCTCAGTCATGGTCAGTAAAACTTCACAGATGCACCTATTCAATGTCTCGTCAACACAAATATCTAATCAGCCTATCTAATGCAGTTTAGGCATGTGCTGCATCCCAAATCACACACTGTACAGAGTAGGTAGATCAAAACCGGTTCTATATAGTATCCGCCATGTTGTCACTGTCAGTTGCGTCACTTCACTGCCATTCACAAATCCTGTGGCCTCATGGGATAGTAAATCGTCTAACAAATGCACACTTCAGAACCTCGCTGGAAATAGTAGGTCATCTGGGGACTTCTCGCCTAGTGTTTTATGAATACTATGGATTCGGACATATTTCTTTTGTCACAAAACGCTTTGCCTACTATATAGTATGGAAGTAGGGATATTTGGACACAGCGATGGTCAATACGATCTGCTGAAATTCACACTGAGCATCAAAATAGGAAAGAAAGGTGATTTAAAAAACTTTGTATGTGTATGTATATATATATATATATATTAGGGTTGTGCAAAAATTAATTGCAATTAATCGCATCCAAAATAAAAGTCTGTGTTTACATAATATAGTTGTGTGTGCTGTATATAATTATTTTGTATATATAAATACATATGCATGCATGTATATATTTAAGAATTATTTGCGCTTAAATTCTGTATATAAATACATAATCTATGTTATATAAATATAAATATTTTATATATGAATAACACATTTTCTTAAATATATACATGCACGTGTGTGTATTTATATATACAAAATAATTATACACACTACGCACACATATATTATGTAAACACAGACTTTTGTTTTGGATGCGATTAATCGCAATTAATTTTTGCACAGCCCTAATATATATATATATATTATTTTAATTAGATATAATTTTATACAATTTATAAACCTAAGTGATTCATTTTTTTCAGAGGATTTATGTTTGATAAGATTAAATTAGGATTATAGTGTGATATGGTCTATTCGGTAATCCGAGATTAATATATAATCTCTATAACATAATGCTCATGTGTACATATTTGAATCTCAGTGCAGATTTCTCAAGTATTTATGCGCTATTTTTAAAACGGAAAACTTTCTCATACCATTTCTGCACATTTTTGTACACATAAAAGACCTACAATGCTTGACTTGACTTTCCTTTTATAGTTTAAATCTATTGTGTTAAAACTAACATGCACTAACATGTATTTAATAAAACCACAGTGTTGCATAATTCGGTCTAAAACGTTTGTTGCTTACCGCACACTATTTTACATACCATTTTTACACATTTCGGAAAGTCATTTGTGCATTAATTTTTATACAAAGCATAATCGGTACTGCAATAGTAGTAGTATGCTGTTGGTCTCAGAATAATGACATCACATGTTTATCTATATTTATTTCTTTATTTGATCAGTGACAATGCACAAAAAAGCATTAGTCTGAAGAAGAGGTGTCGTGCCAGGTTATAGCAAAAAATGCAAATGATGTTATACTTACAAAAATTCATAAAATATATACAGAATTGTATATGTGTTCGCAGGTGCCAGTCTCCGCATGTCATTTCCTCCTCAAGCTCCACCCTCTCTCTGGCATCCTCAGGGTCCCACAGCTTGCCACACCCACAAACCATCACCATGGCAACCTCCCAGGAATGAGACTTGGAATTACCATATTACCGCGCCCTGTAAGGCATAAACAGTCAATCAATCCAACATAGACTGAGGAAGAACCGTCCGTCACCATTAACAAACACTGGGGCGCTCGAAGCTTCAACAATCTGCAGTTTGATATAACCGTGAATGTGGGACTCGACCCATTCCAACCCATCAGGACCAATAAAACGATTAATATTAGTAACATTATTCACATTTCTTACTCTTTTGCTCTCTGCTCCTCAGGACAGTGAAGACACTTTGATTACTACCATCAACAGCACTGAAGCTTCGCCTCACCTGACACCGGAGGCTAGCTAAGGGAGTTACGTTCATTCATTCTGCTGCTTCCAAAACCGTGGGTCAACCTCAGTGTTTATGTACTGACCAGAACGGGTCCGATCCCGGAGTAGAACCACAACGAAGCCAAAACGGACGGTCGCTCGCTTCCTGCTGTAAAGAAAAGAGCTGAGCAAGAGGAATGTCTCTCTTTCTATCTGCATGTCTTACTGTATGTGTGTGTCTTTGTGATTCTGATCAGGGTTCTGGACGAGAGGCGGCTGACGGGCTGGAGGAAGGATCTACAGGGTTCCCACGGGCTCATGGAAAACACGGAAATGTCAGGGATTTTGGGCTGGAAAAGTCATGGAAATGAGATTTAATTTATGCATTTTTTAAATATAAAATATGAACATAATATTATATAAATATATAAACATGAAACAGAATTGTAAAGAAAAATATGTAGGATAAAAAAACAGGTATCATAATATATGGAGTGTGTGTGTGTGTGTGTAGCCTATAGACCATTTTGTAAGATGTAAACAACACTGGTCCAGAAGCACTTCCTGTTTCAGTTTGTAACTGTTTTCTGTATTTCACATGTAAAGAAAACATCTTAAAGATGTTTGTTTAACTTTTTGACTCAGTTTTAAATGTTCTGTTGGTTGTATTTTATCCCAGCTTTTATGTAGTGTGAAAAAACTGAAACAGGAAGTGCCTCTGGACCAGTTTTGTTTACATCTTGCAAAATGGTCTATATATATACACAATCACCGGCCACTTTATTTAGGTGCACCTTTCTTGTACCAGGTTGGACACCAGAACTTGCCTTCAGAACTGCCTTAACAAGAAGCTGGAAACATTCCTCAGAGATTTGGCTCCATATTGTCATAAGAGCATCACACATTTGCTGCAGAAATATCATCTGCACGTCCATGCTGCAAATCTCCCGTTCCAGCACATCCCAAAGCTGCTCTATTGGATTGAGATCTGGTGACTGGAGGCCGTTTGAGTTTAGTCAACTCAGTGTCATGTTCAAGAAACCATTGATTTGAGCTTTGTGACAGACACTATCCTGCTGGAAGAGGCCATCAGAAGGTCGTATGTGGTCAGCAATAACACTCAGGTAGGCCATCACACCAGCAGCCTGAACCGCTGATACCAGGCAGGATAGATCCATGCTTTAATGTTGTTTACACCAAATTCTGTGACCCTATGATCTGTCGCAGCAGAAATCAAGACTCATCAGACCAGGCAGACCAGTTAACCCCGTGTGAATTATCTCCTCAGTTTGCTGTTCTCAGCTCACCGGTGTGTTTCTTCTGCGTCGAGGTTTGACGTGTTGTGTGTTCAGAGATGCTCTGCAACCTTTGTTGTAACGAGTGGTTACTGTTGCCTTTCTATCAACCAGTCTGCTCATTCTCCACTGACCTCTGGCCTTTCTCCCTCACTGGATATTTCCTCTTTTCCGGATCATTCTCTGTTAAAGGGTTAGTTCACCCAAAAATGAAAATGAAGTCATTAATTACTCACCCCCATGCTGTACCAACCCCGTAAGACCTTCGTTCATCTTCGGAACACAAATAAAGATATTTTTGACTGAATCTGAGAGCTGGATCAGTCCTACATAGACTGCCTAAGGGACTGGCTCTTGACGGCTCATAAAGTCATTAAAGAAAAGGTTTAAATATTCCATGTGCCTACAGCGGCTCAATTATAAGTTTATCAAGCGACGAGACTACTTTTTGTGCGAAAAAAACATAAATAACGACTTTATTCCACTATTCCATTACTTCCTTATGGGCGCATGCGCGAGAACTGAGACGAGGATGTTCTCATTCGTTTACTTCTTGTTACCGGCTGCTCACCGCTTAGGAGTTTTACCGCCACCTACCGTATAAGATGATGTGCTGATATAGCTGGAAGCGCAAAACTTTCTGTTTACAAGCAGAGGAAGATGCGCGCTGTACATACGCTTTTCAATTAGCGTATTTTCCGCACTATAAGGTGCACTTAAAAGCCTTTAATCTTCTCAAAAAACGACAGTGTTCCTTATAATCCGGAGCGCCTTATATATGGATCATCATTTTATACGGTAGGTGGCGGTAAAACTCCTAAGTGGTGAGCAGCCGGTAACAAAAAGTAGACGAATGAGAACGTCCTCGTCTCAGTTCTCGCGCATGCGCCCATAAGGAAGTAATGGAATAGTGGAATAAAGTCGTTATTTATGTTTTTTTTCGCACAAAAAGTAGTCTCGTCGCTTGATAAACTTATAGTTGAGCCGCTGTAGGCACATGGAATATTTAAACCTTTTCTTTAATGACTTTATGGGCCGTCAAGAGCCAGTCCCTTAGGCAGTCTATGTAGGACTGATTTAGCTCTCAGATTCAATCAAAAATATCTTTATTTGTGTTCCGAAGATGAACGAAGGTCTTACGGGGTTGGAACAGCATGGGGGTGAGTAATTAATGACTTAATTTTCATTTTTGGGTGAACTAACCCTTTAACTTTAGAGATGGTTGTGTGTGAAAAACCCAGTAGATCAGCAGTTTCTGAAATAGTCAAATCAGCCCGTCTGGCACGTTCAAACTCACTTAAATCACCTTTCTTGCTCATTCTGATGCTCAGCTTGTACTTCAGCAGATCGTCTTGATCATGTCTACGTGCTTAAATGTATTGAGTTGCTGCCATGTGATTCACTGATTAGATTTGTTCACTTTTAAAAACACTTTTGCTGATAATTGACTCACCCCCATGTCATCCAAGATGTCCATGTCTTTCTTTCTTCAGTCGAAAAAGACATTAAGGTTTTTAATGAAAACATTCCAGGATTTTTCTCCATATAATGCACTTTACTGGGAACCAAACGGTTCAAGGTCAAAATGTCCGTTTCAGTGCAAACTGCAAACTGTTCAAAGGGCTTTAAACGATTCCAGACGATGAATAAGGGTCTGATCAAGCGAAACGAATCTTTTCCAGAGTCAATTCGTTCATTTCGCATGTTGAATGAATCAAATGACACGAAAAAAGATTTGTTAATTTTGATGAACGAGTTCGACAGGAGAGTCACGAACGCGCATCACAGAACAGAGCAAGGAGAACATTTGAGCTTATAAAACTTAAGCTTAGTTAGTTTTTTTTTTTTTAAATGAGCGATCGTTTCGCTTGATAAGACCCTTATTCATCGTCTGGAATCGTTTAAAGCCCTTTGAACAGTTTGCAATTTGCACTAAAAGTGTCTTTTGGACCTTGAACCGTTTGGTTCCCATTGAAGTCCATTATATGGAGAAAAATCCTGGAATGTTTTCATCAAAAACCTTAATTTCTTTTCGACTGAAGAAAGAAAGACATGGACATCTTGGATGACATGGGGGTGAGTAAATTATCAGCAAAAGTTTTTTTTAAAGTGAACTACTCCTTTAATAAGCAGAGGTGTACATAATAAAGTGGCCGGTGAGTGTTTGTATATGTATGTTTGTGTAAAAATCTGAATTCTTTAGTATTATATAAAAAAAAAAAAGAATGGAAATTCATTGGTTAAAAGTTGTGGGAACCCTGGCTCTACAACAAGCTCTTGAGCTGAGCATGTACTATAAGAGCTGGCCTTTGCTTAGACCTTTAAACCACTGCACTAACTTAAAGCAATGAGACCTACAAGACAAAAACACTCATGCACACACACGCGCACACATGCCTTGCTTACTTGATTTACTTGACTCAAAGCAGCAGCCATGTTCTCCAGCCGGACGCCCCTCTCCTGTAATTATGAACAAATGTGGAGTTTCGTTGTGTACAGGAGATCTGTGTGTTTATGTGTGTCAGTCAGATGATGATCTGTGTGTTATCGGCTCATGGAGCTGCTCTCACTGGATGGAATTAAAAAAGCAGTTCTCTGGCAAAAGATGATTGTGTTTGTAAACGTTTCTCTAGAATTGGCATAATGCACAAGACTGATGTAGACTTAAAGGGATTTCACCCAGAAATTAACATTTTGTCATCATTTATTTGTGCCATTCCAAACCCATAGCCTTTAGTCAGTATTAAAGCAATAGAAGTCAATGGACAGTCTCGTGGTGATAGAAAAACAAATGTGTGTGTCTGAATACACATTCAAACTTTTGGGGTTTGTAAGATTTTTTAAATGTTTTTATTTTTTTATTTTGGCTCAAGGGTTTTAAATGTCAGATGGAGTCATTGAGGACACGAGTAAGACAATCTCTCTCACACACACACACAGTCTGGATGGAGGTTTACAGTAAGGGCTGCTGATGCAGTTTATCTTCTCTGAATAATTAACGCACGGTTAACCGGGAGGCTGGAGGTCGCGTGTGGTGAGCTGGTGTCATGTTCTGTTTAACCTACATGCGGGTCATTTCCCTTTCATCAGTGTCACTTCACCGGCTGAAGGACTGCTCACGAAACACTGCAGGTCGGGTTCATGATCACTGGACTCACGAAAGGAGGGGTTTTCTGATCATGATGATGATGGAGACCTGGACTAAACGAAAAAGGTCAGTTTCACATTTCAAGCCCTGTTGAGTGATATTGTGCACATCATGTAGGCGAACATAATGAAATAAAGTAATAAAAATAAAAACCTGCCATGGAGACTGTTGGAAATCGGAGGATCGGGGACTCACTATGGGAATGGGCCAAAAATCCAAATCCATCGCTATTTCCATGACAACCTCTTTTTTTTTTGGTCATTGGACATTTTCCTCTTGCACCAATACCAATACACACAAACACACACATTTTTCGTGTGAGACATAACCCAAACAGTGTTGTTCCAGATCCGGGCCTATGCACGTGGATTCAATGTGTACCAGTCAGAGGAGGGCCGGATCTGGGCCGACACTATTGCAGTCTGAGAATTATTTTTATACTGTACAAACTGTATATTCCATCCTCTAACCCTAACTAACCCTACCCATTTTCACATAAAAAATCTTTTAGTATGAAAATACGCTGATTTACCCATGGGGACCAAAAAATGTCCAATGCACAAGAACAAGGATTTCGGATATTTCCATTTTTTGTGGGGACATTTAATCCCCATGTGGGGTTTACCAGGACACACACTCTCACGCAACATACAACCTTGATAAACCGTTTTATTGGCATTTTAGACTGATCGAGCTCTTTTCATATGATTAATAAAGTAATGATTTTTTTTAAAGACGCCGATATTAATTTGACAGTTATTTATGATTCTGCATTTTCCAGTTTGCTAAAATCACCTCACTGTCAGTGCCCTCTGCTGGATAAAACACACTGACTGGTGTTCATGAAGAGAATCTCGCCTGTTTGTTTGTTTTTTAGACCAAGAAAGGTTTCATTAATTTCTAAAGTTTTTTTCTTTTTTTTTCTTTTCTCTAACAGATAAATATCAATACATATTGGGGATGAAATAAGTCGCCGAGAACTCGAATGAACCGAAAAACAAAACAAAAATAGCCTGTCTGGACCCATTAATGAAGTGCTGGCACCGCGTCTGATCGCTAGATGGCAGCATAACATCATTCAAACATGACATTGCTGACCTTCA